TTCTTATACTCAGAGATGCCAGCTGGCGAACATGAAGTTTTTATGGGTTAGAAGACTCGAAGCTGGCCTTTGCTTCCTTTTTCGCATCAACTCTAGCTCCAGTCTTCCGCACATTGACACTCTCACTCCGAGAGATCGGTCTTATGCCACGCCTAACTCCTCCATGATGATTCCACCGCCGCCTCTTTGCACCACATCTAAGCGCTCCCTCTTTCTTGCTTCCAAATATGCCTTCCTTTGGAATAATCTTCCGCCTGAAATTAGATTATCGCCTAGGTTACTGATATTCAAGTCGAAATTACGCAAACATCTTACACCGGAAAGCATAAAGGCACTGTTAACGGTCTCATTCCCGAACACTCAGATTCTTGACTTCGAGAAGGGTCCTCCTGGGATCTAGTGGTAGATTAAGTGGTAACTCTTAATTATATCATTAGAAACCCCTGTTTGTAATTGGTTTCTAAATCCATCGCTATCCTTCCCCCCATAGTGACAATTTTCGCGGTTTTTGATGTCATCTCCCGCATTCCGACCTCATGCGGTCTGTCGACGCTCAGGGCGGAACCCTCAGTATTCACTGTCTACTAGTAGTTCGGTCGTACCTCCCTTCCTCACTGCTCGGCTGAGCTCGAAGCGTGCTGTGGCCGATCGCATCTCGGTTCCTCTCGTCTGGCCTCTTTGACGCGGCGTACCAATCCGGCCCAGACGATCTCAATTGTGAATCCCGTATACAATGCCATTTGCAAGCCACTCCTGTCTGACCCACATTCGTACCCATCAAGGCGGACATTTATTGATACCCTGACGATGACCGAAAACATTCCGTTATATACCGCCACCTACAGGCCAGTCCTGCTCGCTTTTTTCTGTTATTATTTTTATGGAGGGGTTTTTTTTCTCCTGTAAAATTAATCCAATCATTTTTAACTTTTGGTAAGGAGTTTTTTTTCACCCCTCAATCATCATGTTTCTCAATTGACTTCTAATTCAGAAACTATGAATTGCATTTTGTAAAGATTCGGCATACCTCGTCTAAAACTCACATGCAAATTTATTTTAACTTGCTTTGATGGGACCCCGACGGGTCTTTAATAAAAATTATCTATCTATCTACAATAAGGACGCGGTACTGGAAATTGCGGGCCAGCAAAACAATAAAATCTTCGTTAAAAATGTTTCTCAAGTGCCGGAGATGGTTTCCTCGTCCCCACCAACAAGCTATGGGTCCGATCCCCTCGATCAAACTGTACAATCTTGCGACCCCCTTTAACGATTTCAGGAGTTGATTATTTCGGTCCGATGTTCGTTAAGCGGGGACGTTCCGTCGAAAAGCGATATGGCTGTCTATTTACCTGCCTCAGTTCTCGAACGGTGCACCTGGAAGTAGCGCACTCTTTAAATACTGATTCGTTCTTGTGTGCTTTAAATCGATTTGTGGCACGTAGAGGTTGTCCACAGCGACTATACAGTGACAACGAAAGGAATTTTAAGGGTGCGGAAGGCGACGTAAAGAAACTGCTTAACATGTGGAACCACGACAAAAAAGCAAAGTCTCTGCTGGTCCGTGAGTGCGACTGGATATTTATCCCCCCTCGAGCCAGCCATAGATGTGGTGTATAGGAAAGAATGATTCGCACAGTCAAACAAATTATCCTTTGGGTGTTAGAAGAACAACGCCTCACTGATGACGTTCTACACACGGCTATAACTGAAATTGAAAGAATTCTTAATGACAGGCCGTTAGTAAGACAGAGTGGCGACCCGCATGATCAGTATGTACTTACACCGAGTAAGTTGCCGCTACTAAGAAGTAATTCGTCTGAGCCAAAACCAAGCACAATTCCAAAGAATCAATTTAATAGAAGATGGCGACAGGCATAACTCCTAGCTGATGCCTTTTGGAAAAAATAGTTAAGAGCCTACCTACCGACACTCGCAGTTTGTCGGAAGTGGCAGTCTGCGCAACCGAGTTCCAGGATTGGTCAACTTGTTCTGCTAATGGAGGCAGACAAACCCCGAGGTGTCCGGCCTAAGACAATAATCTAAAAAGTACGCACAGGATCGGACAACTTCATTCGCGGAGTCGCCGCCGCACAGAAGAACTTCATGTACGGAGGGACATGCGTCCGGTTTGTCCACTGGAAGGAGAAGTGGATCAAATGGAAACTCCGTGACACTTTCAGGCCATCGGAGACCGAGAATCCGTGGGGAGTGTGACATCCCTGATGTCAATTTATATTCCCGTCTTTTTCTTTGTTACTAACCGTTTCTTAGTAACCAGACTTTACTCACACTGCCCTGTCTTCGTCTCTGTATCCGCCTCTAAATTCGTCGGTTCTCGTCATTCTTGGCTCGCCGTTCTTTGTCCATTGTCTATTGCTCTTTGTTGCCGCTCGCTTATAAACTGACCACCACACTTTGGCGTCATTCACTAACTGCTCGTCTTATCACCTCGAATGTACGTCCACTTTTCAATTTATTCCCCGCCTTATTAACTCTATTGTGCTCCGCTAATCTTACTGTTTATTGCTATAGGACCATAAAAAATAACCACGTTATCCTGACCGTCTTCTGACATAGCTCTAACCTCGGGTGCGTCTATTCCGGTGAATAAACCAGCACTGAATCTAGAAAAATCTAAAGAATACCAACACTTTGCTTAGTACCAACGATGCTTTCATTATAGAGGAATCAGGCGAAATAGAAATGTTAAGTACATTTTCTGTCAAACTTTTCGCCATCGAAACTGACCAAATCCCTTTAATTCCTCCGTTGTCTGATGCATCTCTCGCCATCATTATTTTTTCTCCTGAATCTATTCAAAAACTGATAAGCCATCTTCCTAACTCTCACTCAGTAGGTAAGGACAGCATTCCGAACTCACTTATAAAACAGCTAAGTGATTTTCCTCCTCTCCTTAGCGAACTCATTTTAGTCTATCTCTTAAGTGGTTTCTTCTCTGACTATCGGGAAACTTCTATTATTATTATTCCAGTATCGAAACCTGGCTGTCGTTCTGATGTTCAAGACTATCGAGGTGTCGATAGAACGTCATCTCTTGCCAAAATCTTTGAAAAATTAACTCCATAAAAATTGCCGACTTTAGCATAGCCACTCAACTTATTAGCCCTCCCAGTATGGTTTGTTACTGAATCGCTCTTGTGAAACACGTCATCTGTGGTTTCTCTTTGTAATGACCGTCTATCTGTTTTCGTTATTTATTTTGATCTTAGTAAAGCTTTTGATAAAAGGCCACATAAAAGCTCTGGGAATCTTCAGTCCCCTAATAGACTTTATCAAGTCATACCTGCCTAGTAGTAAACAAATAGTTTTTGTGGGATCTGTACTTTCTAGTGAAATCCCTATTGTAGGTGGTGTTCTATAAGGCACCGTTTTAGGCTCTGTGGTTTTCCTGCTTTACATAAATGATATCTCGTCGGCAGTTAAACATTCACAATCATTTATTTATGCCGATGATCTCAAGTGTGTATAAATACAATAAATCTAGGACCCTTCATTGCCTGGAGCAAATTCATGCTGACTTATTTGCTCTCTTAGCGTGCAGCTCAAAATGGCTAATAGAATTCTCTCCGTCTAAATGTCACTTTATGTGTTTTGGACCTGATAGACCACCCAAACCAGTGGCCTCTCAAGGCACACATATGACCGAATGTGCCACCATCAAGAACCTAGGTTTAAGCTACTCCAATAATCTTGATCTCTCACCACACGCTAACAGATTTACGCCTAAAGCTGCCCAGATTTGTAGCTTTATTTCTCACAATTTCTATCTTCATGAAACCAAATCAAGACTTTATTGAATGTTTGTACTTCACATTCGTAAGTATTGTTGCCCATTGTTTTGTTTGATGAACGAAGTTAGTCGTTCAAAAATTGAAAATGCTCAAATACATTTTACTAGAAAACTTTAGGAACGAAACATCCAAATATTTCCTACTCAGATAGATGCCAGATAACTAACCTGAAATTTTTATCGGTTCGACGACTAGAAGCAGGCTTCTGTCTCCCCTTCGCATTAATACTAGTTCAAATCTTTCTCGAATTTCAGCGCATGCGCCCAGTAGTCGCCCATACAATCTTTGAAACTTTTTCCTGATTATCCCTCCTCCCGCTTCCTCCATCTCTACGCGTTTTCTTTTTTTCGCATCCAGGTATACTTTCCTCTGGAATAACCTCCCAATAAATATAAGATCTTCAGATAATCTACATACATTTAAGAGAAGGTTGAGCCTTTATCTGAACACTTACTCAATTAAACTGTTGTTTTCATCACCCTTCGCGGACAACTTTTCTATGACACCGAGAAAGGGCCACCGGGATTTTAGGACGCCATCATTACATTTCCGTGTCCGCTCACATTTCCTTCTATTGTGTACAGTATCGCATCTTGGGATCCCTCATCAGAAATGTTGATTTTTTCGAATTTTTCAGTTTATGCATCGTGCCCCTCACAGTATGCGATACAATTTTTGACAAATGCTCTCAAAAATAGCTTTGCTAGGTTGACAAGCACGATCTAGACCGCCTCAGTCTCGCCAATCACCAACACTCATCAAACTTCTGTTCTGGCCCCCGCGATTTCAGAGCCTCCACTCAACGTTGAATTTCGCGGTTCTTGAGGTCAGGTCCTCATTTCGACCCCAAGTGCTACATCGACGCTCTTGGCGGAACCCTCTGTTTTTGCAATCTACTGGGAGTTTGGTCACATCTCCCTTACTTCCTCCTCGGCTGGACTCGAAGCAGACAGTGAACGATCGCGTCTTGGTCCCTCTTGTCTCGCCACTTTGACGTGAATGGCCTCATCCGACATATGAATTCTGCCTTGATGATGTCCGTCTCGAACCTTTTACTCAATACCGCATGCAGTTCAGTCCTGTCTGACCCGCTTTCT